AGTCTGCTCCCAACAGCCTCCGGGGTCTGATAACACCTGCTGAAGAAAAAACACAGCTGGAAACGAAAGTGAGATAACAGGCAGCGTGGCTTCATGCAAGGTAGCCGGCGCCAGGCTAGTCTGCGATCTTAGATAAGATAACTCAGGTTTTAAAGAGAAGCGCAGTCGACATAACCGCTCTGGCCTTTGCTAAAGCCGTCGATAGCGTCTCCCAGGGGACACTCGTCCAGCAAAACAGGAAAAGGATGATGAGGTGAGGCAGGGACGAAAGCAGCAATGGCCAGGCACTGAGCTGGGGGCCGGAGGGAGGCTGCAAGGGGCAGCTCCTCCAGACCCTTCGACGTGACCTTTTCCATGTGTGTGCCCAGGAACAGACGTGTTCTCCTGACGTGGCACTAAGGTGGGAGAAGCAATCTGCCCGAGGGCCCACGGGAAGAGCGCGGTGCCTACAAGGGCCAGGTCACAGAAAGGGGACAGACGTTGCACTCGGGTGACAGGCAGAGGCCCTGGCGGGAGCCGGGAGCAGGACTGCTCTGTCCGGGCGCTCCGGGCTGGCACCACGCAGAGGAGCAGGGCAGGGCCGTCGCCTGCCTATAGCCGCAGCTGGCACCTGCCGAGCTGCTGCACCCCGGGTGTCTCAGGCAGTCCTCCCCTGTCTTCTCACGGAGAGAAGGGACGAGGCGGTGGCAATCTCTGCACTGCCCTTTGGGACAGAAAAATGCTCACGACGTGCAACAATACAGCCGCTGGCTCAGGTCTCAGCGGCCCCAACACGCTTCCGTGGACGGGGAGTTGCGTGGACACCCAGGCAGTGCTGTGGCCCCGTCCTGCTTCGTGTCCCCGCAGTGAGCGGACACCCGGCGTTGGCGAGGGGGTTTCGGCTACACCTACCCCACGGATTTCCGCTCTTGCCGCAATGGACAATTCGGCGTGCAGATGCCATCACCCCTGCAGACAGCGGTCCCCCGGGGGGTATTGCTACGAGCCGAGCGATTGCAGGCGTTGCTTCCCTCTGTGGCACCTGCATTCCTGGGCCTGGGATGAGGCCGCGGCAGGGGGGGTCTTCATATCACAGACAGGTCACAACAGTCGCTGTTGTTCCTGTGTAAGTCATTAGCCCAGGTCTAATTCTGTCGTTTGCTCTTTGAGCACAACAGCGCTCAGCGCGGGAGGGTCTCATTAACTGGCAGGACTCCACTCCCGCACACCGCGAGCACCCGGCTTGCTATTAAAAGAAGTTACCACATTATCCCAGGAGCCTAAAAGGGGCCCCCATCCCACGCACCATCGTGACCACAACCTGTGCAGCTGAACCCAGCTCTTGCCGGGTAACTCCTTAGCTTTCACAGACTCTTCTGGGTCCATGCGTGCGCAGCTCAGAGGCAGGATCCGTCCGCCCCCGCGGTCAGATTGCTATGGATGGGGGGGCCTTCCTCTATAGTGAGGGTATGGGCTCTCCCTGGGGCCCCTTGAGCGTATTTTAACAACCTTTGCTGCGGCGGGGCATTGGCCGCCGCGGTCCCCCGCTTTCGTGGGCGCAGGATCGGGTGTGATGGCCGGTGCTGTGTCTGATCTGGCTGTAGTTGTGCTAAGGGGATTTGCAGAGGATGGTTTGGACGGGATTGGCCCTGCCTCGGGCCAGCCAGCCCGGCTCCACTACTATTCCCGGACTCTGCACTATACATAGCAGTAGCGTTTCCTTAAGAAGGGCTGGCCGCTCTTGCTCAGGCCAGGCTCAGGATGGAGCTGGCAGGTGCTGTGCATCGGGCTAAGCACTGGCAGCACCATCAGCAGTGCCTCCGTGTCTGCAGCATTTGGTGTTGCCACGTGCTAGTATTGTAGCACCGGCAGCCCCAGATGCTGGCGTGCTGTGGCCATGGGTGGACCGTGGCTGCTCATTTCAAGGGGAAAACCCAAATCGCAGCTTTGGAGAGGAGCCCAGACATCATGACGTCTAGAGGCTGCAGGGGCAGAAGGCAGAGCGGCCTCAGGCTCGGGGCAGCTCGCGTGGTGCGAAGGGCACTGGTCGCTGTGCTGTGCAGGGGCAGCTGACCTGACGCCAGTTCCCCGGAGCGCCTGGCTGGAGACATCACAGGTGCTGAAGAAAAAGCAAATGGTGCAGATCTTCTGTGCAAACAGCCCAGAGCTGGCGTTGGCCTGGCAGCGGTCCTCAGTCCCCGCCGGCTGCATTTGCCTGGCAGAGCCCAGAACAGGAGCCATTCTCTTGGAGAGCAAAGGTGGGTGTGCTCTGGGCTGCCAAAATGCCCCCCGTGGGGCTCCTTGCAGTCCCACTCGCTGCTGGGGCTGCCTGGGCCCAGCATGGGAAGCAAACAGTTGTTCCAGCTGTGAAAGACAAGGGAAGTGATGACTTCCAGCTGGCGATTTTGGCCACGAGGAAGGATCCCATCCCCAACCACCGAGGACTTGAAAGGAGGCTATAGTTTAGGTCCAGGCAGCCAGTTGGGCCGGCTCAGGGCCACGGGGCTGTGTCGGTGGAAGTGTACTTGGGAATCAGCAGCCACCGCTCTTCATAGGCTTTGCAGGAGCGGCCCGGGTCTGGGCAGCACTCAGCTGCGGCAGGCGTAGCCTGTGCCCAGTTCAAGTGGGGATGGGCATAAGCTGCTCTGTGCCACCTGCTTTTGTGCATCTGCTCCTGTCCCGGGGGAGGTGGCAGCTGCTCTGGTGCAGCTCAGCCCACGGGGGCAGGGCTGATGCCCACGGCCGAGCCCCTGCTTCCTGCAGGGCGGGTGGGGAGAGATGACCCGTCTGCACCGCGCGCCCGGAGCTGCCCCGCTCGGGCGCCCAGGCACGGCTCCGGCAGTCCCGAGGAGCTCTCAGCCGAGCGGGGATGGAAGCTGCGGCCATTGCAAGCCCTCGGCACATCAGACGGATCCTGTCAAGGGGCCGGAGCGCAGCGACTCCCAACCAGGGTGCCGGGAAGTGCTTGCAGGGGTGCCCCGCCGTGTTAGCGCTGCGAGGTGTGCCGGCTCGGTTCCCAGTTCCCAAGATAAACCCAGGCAGGAAGCACGATCGAACCCACTCAGAGCTGCCGTGGGCTTCGCAGGTCTTTGCAGCAGATTTGCTCTAGTGCTTTTCTGTAGGCAAAACCCAAGTGAAAACCAAACCCCAGCATTTTTCGAGGGCAGCCTTGAGTCTAATGAGTGGGAGCCATAGGCCTAATGAGGCTGGAAATCACAGACCTAGTGTAACAGAAAATCAGTGTCTCTCCCCAAAGTCGCCTGGCTTGGGGGAGGGGCACTAATCAGACGGGCTAATCAGAGCCAGGGAGATGCTGAGGGTGGAAGCTGCCTTGCCTGGCTGTGGTGGCGCTGGGCCTGGGGGAGCGCGGGAAGGACACGGGGAGTGGGCATGGGGCTGGGGGGAGCTCTTTGCAGGGTCCCTGTCCTGCCTCTGGAGGTGCCCTCGCCAGGCTTCCCTGGGCAGCTGTGACGGCCTTGCCACATCGCACGCTGCACGGTCTCCGCAGCCCCCCGCCTCGCTCACAGGGCCCGGGTCTGACCCTTGCATTTCCCTTCCAGGTGCTGACCCCCAGACGCTGTAGCAGGTCGCGCCCCCTCCTCCTGCCGGATGGACTGGCCAGGAGCAGCGAGGTAGCAGCAGCTCTCGCGGTGCCCAACCCAGCTATGCCGACAGAGCCCGGCAGAGCTGAGACTCGCAGCACCCGGCCCCCGTGGACCTCCCCGAGCCGAGGGGCAGGAGGGCCAGGAGAGAGGGGCTGAGAGCCAGAGAGCAGCCTGGGCCTCCGACGGACAGCAACAGGGCCACGGCTGCTCTAGGTGCCCAGCAGCCTCGCTCCGGGGCTCCCAGCACCTTCCCCAGGCCAGACAGCTGCAAGCGCGCAGCTCCCTGCTGTCTCCGGTCTGGGCAGGGCGCTGAGCTCGGGCGGCGCCGGGTCCCATGTCAGCTCGGCTGGGGGAGAGCCATGCCCCGCACCCCCTCGCCATGGGCTCCTGCCTGAACCAGACAAGCGCTACGGAGAGCATCACGGGGGCGGCGCTGGTGGGGGTCGTGCTGGTGGCACTCATCGTGGTGACCATCTGCGGGAATGTCATCGTCTGCCTGGCGGTCACCCTGGACCGCCGGCTGCGCAGCCTCACCAACTGCCTCATCGTGTCCCTGGCCACCACCGACCTGCTGCTGGGGCTGCTGGTGCTGCCCTTCTCGGCCATCTACGAGCTCACCAAGGTCTGGCCCTTCGGCACGGTCCTCTGCAACATCTACACCAGCCTGGACGTCATGCTGTGCACGGCCTCCATCCTCAACCTGCTCATGATCAGCCTGGACCGCTATTACGCCGTGACCAAGCCGCTGCGCTACACCCAGCTGATCACCTCGCGCCGCGTGGCGCTGGCCCTGGTCGTCATCTGGGCCGTGGCGCTGATGGTCTCCTTCCTGCCCATCCACCTGGGCTGGAACAGCAGCCGGCTGAGCACCAACAGCAGCACGGTGTGCCAGCTGCAGGTCAACGCCTTGTACGGCCTGGTGGACTCGCTGCTCACCTTCTACTTCCCACTGACCGTCATGTGCATCACCTACTACCGCATCTTCAAGATCGCCCGGGAGCAAGCCAAGCGCATCAACCACGCCAGCGGCTGCACAGCCCCCGGCCCCTCCCTGGTGAAGGAGCATAAGGCCACGGTGACGCTGGCGGTTGTGCTGGGGGCGTTCATCGTCTGCTGGTTCCCCTACTTCACCGTGTTCACCTACCGCGGGATGATGGACGACGGCGTGGTGGACTGTGTGTCCAAGTCCATCGTCCTGTGGCTGGGCTACGCCAACTCGGCCCTGAACCCCATCCTGTACGCGGCCCTCAACCGGGACTTCCGCTCGGCCTACCAGTGCCTGCTGCGCTGCCGGAGGCAGAGGGGCCTCTCCCGCTGCCCGCCCCTGACCTCCGCCTACGTGCCGCGCCGCAGGGGCCGGCGAGCCCTGAGCGTGCAGCAGGAGAAGCCCCTGAGGCTGCAGGTGCGGAACGGCAGGGAGAGCGCGCTCGCTCGAGGAGCCAAGGACAGGTACAGCTTGCCCCTTGCAAGTGGCTGGGAGCGGGGAGCGGGGCGGGGGTGAGCCGGAAGAGCATCACGGTGAGTTATGTCCAGACTCGGGT